CACACACACACACACACACACACACACACACACACACACAGAGCAAATACTCCAGATGAAGCATGGACAACAATTGCTTACAAATTAGTTTTTTCTTGAGGGATTTTAAAATGAAATGTAAAGAACACCCACCTCCTTCCCCATTTTCTCTTCTTGAAGGGTGAGTATCTCATTCACAGAGTTAAGTCTGATTGTCAAAAGCTCAGCGGTCATCTTAAGAGTAGCCTTCTCTTTGTTCAGCCTCTACAAAATAAAATAATGTTAATTATTAGGGATAAACTAGGGATGAATTATTATAACTGGCATTTTAATTCATGAAGTTATTTCCTCCACCATTCTCGCTCTACGGAAAAGAACAACATTTAAAAGTGTTTTCCCATCCAAGCACTTCATAGTGAGCTGATAGCAATCAATACTGTTTAAAAAGTCTCTACCTCAACCACTTCGTTTAATTGTTCCTTCTCTCGTTGCTCTGGGGCAAGCTGGCCTATGTAATTTCTGAGGCTGTGCAGTGTTGCAGATTGTGTTTCAAGAGCTTGTCCCATTTGGCTGAAAAATAAACAACATCCCAGAATCAAGTGAATGTGATGACCACAAATGTAGAAAGATGTTTGGCTCTTTGGCAGTTGTAGATTGAATGTGACACCTTATGTGCTCTTTCAGCTCATCTCTCTCGGTAGACACCTCCATCTGAGTGCTCTTCAGCCGCAGCACTTCTGAGGCCATTGATTCAAGTCGGTCCTGTAGTTCGCTGTTTGTTTGCTTTGCTGCAACCAACTCTGCTGAGTGGGATGCATTCAACTGTTGCAGCTGGAAGTTAAGAGATAACGTTGGACATTTTCAGACACGCTTTAGAAAGATCCCCCAAATCAGTATCTACACGATTTATGATTGTTTAATCTTCCTTGTGTACACACCTCCACCTCTTGCTTCCTCTGAAGTTGCTCCAAATGTTCTGAAAGTCTCAGCGTCTGCTGTTTGACTTCCTCCTCAGCCTGTGATCTGCCCATTTCAGCCTTCAGAGCGAGCTCCCGGGTTTCCTCTTTCCTCCAGTCTACTTCTTTCCTCAGCCTTGCGATTTCCTCGCCAGACTCGCTTTTTAGTCTTTCAAGCTGCAAACCAACAGAAATGATAAACATAGGATAATATTCATACATGGAACTCATCAGCGAAACTTGCTAAATTAAAAGTGTCAGTAAACTGTGAAATACTGTACTAAAAATATCACCTAACAAACTTCCAAATTGAGTTATAAGACGCCAGCAACTCCCCGGTGAACTTTGGTGTCGAAATGAAATGTTTAGTCAGTAAACACTATTACCTGTGAGCTTATTTTCTCCTTCTGCACACTGCTGTGAGTGAGCTCATCTCTGATTTTGCTCAGTTCAGTCTTCGTCTTACATAGCTCTTCACGCATCGCTTCCAGCTCAAGGTTCTGTCTGTCATACAAAAGATTATGCCACGTTAAGCTTGATGGTTACAATTAATCACAAAACTCTGACATGTTTTTAACATAGAGGATTTTGAACATAACCGTAAAATGTCTCAAATGCACTCTAGCGTGAACATATTTCTTACCTGTTTAGCGTGCTGTCTCTGTTCTCCTCTCTGTGTCTCCCTACACACTCCTTCAGGGTGTCCACCTGGCCCTTCAATCTCTCAGCTTCGGCCTTGTGCTTTTCTGCCTCCAGACGCCACTCGGAGTCCCATCTGGACCAATGCTCACTTCTCTCTGCAGATCTGTGTAAAAGAAATATGACTGATTCAATATTTTACCCAAATGAAGTACAATTCTAGTATTTCTCAACATATAAAATACACTGCAGGATACCTCGCCCTGAGATCTGTTGGATGATCTGCAGGGATCCTTCCTTTTATGCTATTTTCTTGTAACATCATAATCCGTCGATTTTCCTTCCTCAGTTCCAAGATTTCCTGTTGGGCCTGGGTGATGGCGAGCCATGGGTTGGCAGGATGGGGATCCCCTGATGGTGCTGATGTCACGCCTGGCTTTAACCAGGAGATGGGTGGGGTTGTCCCTGTGACCTTAACGCCTCTGGGGGCTCCAGCAGACTGGATACTCGATGCAAAATGTGACGGGGGCACCAGGTCCTCCTGGACGGTCCCTGCATAACATGAAGTAGTGCTTATGAGAGTGCATGCGTTAGCCAGACTACATCTCTAATGTTTCTTCAGTGGAGACATTTCCCAGCATGTCAACCTCTTTCATTGTTAGCGAAGTGTCACCACTGGAGATGACATTTGCAGGTGACATTGTAAGCTAACGTCAGCTAACGTTATCTTGATCTTGCTATAAAGTTACGAGCAAGTGTCAAACACGCGAACAGAAGAAAGCCCTTACTTGACACAGCGGGTGAGGTGAAGTCAGTGGGAGCTCTGAGCTCGTCGAGTGTCTCCATGTCTGCAGACAAACAGTCCGCTCCTTCAACCGTTTACTCTCCCGCGACTGTCACGTCACTCGCCGTTGCCGTAGTGACCGCGGTAACCTTCCGGAAACCAGCTCTCCCTCACGTGCTCAAAGTCTCTGAAAGTGAAACGGCAGGTGTCTGCAGCGCACAGGTAAACAACTATGTTTATAAAGTTCTGGTAAATTAAATCGCTTTCCTAACTGCCAACTATTACAGTCGCGCAGTGCATCATGGGAAAGTGTAAGGAACAGTGAAAGTACGTGGGAGTTCTTTTCCCTGAGTCATGTCTTGCAGGGTTTTGTCCCTTCCAGTGAGCCCTCAGATGTGCCAAGGATGATTGGCCTCATACATATTGATGCTGCACAGTATTGCTTATTAAATACACTATAGGTACTCACATAGACAGTGCAGGGGATTTATCGCAACATGTTTTGGTGGTAGGCTAAATATTGACAGCAATTGACATTAGGGATTGGATGTGGAAAGCATCATTGAGAGAGCAAAATAATATATCACATGAAATGCAATCTTATATCTACCTTCTTTTTCCCCTCAGTGTGGTAAACAGCATTCACACGATATATATGAAATATGTTTTAAAAAATGCCTTAAAGTATGTAAGATTTAGGTGAAAGGGATCTAGCTGCAAAATTTTATATAAAATAATCCTCATGATGTTTTCACTAGTCAATTTCATCAAAATTGTGTGAATTGTTGTTTTCGTTATCCTAGAATGGGCCCTTTATATTTAAATACTTTATATTTACATCGAGGGGGTCCTCTCTTAGGAGGCCGCCATGTTTTAACTGTAGTCCAGACTGGACAAACTAAACACCTTTTGAGTTTTTATGACACCTGAAGTTCACCACAGGTTCTCCTTCATGTGAGGGTGAGGGGAGCGGTATTCAGCTGCAACATTAGTTAGTGTAACAATAGTTAAAAAAAATGTCCTGCTCCCTCCCCCTTGACCAATACTGCATCCTTCCACCAAGTTTTATGGTAATCTGTTGAGTAGTTTTTGCATAATCCAGCTAACCAACAGACAAACAAACAAACAAATAAGGCAATTAACTATGGAGAATATAATTTTCTTATTCTAAAGGTGCTTCAATGAGATTTCATTTAGAGATCATTGAAAGATATTATCGTGATGAAGAGTGTGAAAACAGCTATGTAAATGCACCTTCTTTGCCAGGAGCTGCCTCACAACAATAACGCTCAGGGGTGTCTGATAACAGCACCACCTCTGCAGGTAAGCTCCAGTAGGGTTTGAATAGGACATAGTGATCATTTGTTTATGTAAAGGAATTATGGATGGGCATCGCTAAATACAAAGCAATCGTTGCACTGTACCCCAATTGTAGAATCATCAGCATATTAATCATGCATTTGCATACTTTTGACAGGCTGCTGTGTACTTACTGTCCTCCCTCTGCATTAATGCACATTCTGCACACACTGCATTTCTGCTGTAAATCTATAAACTAACATGCGCTGACCTGCAAATGAAGGACTGCATCTGTTGCTTGTTATACGACTGGCTGTATGTTCAATATTCAGCAGGCTATATTCACTGCTACCACCATATCCTGTTGTGTTCCCCTCCTCTGGTAAATTCAGCAGCTGTTTCTGTTTGCACATACCTGCGGTATATCCTTTTCTCCACAGCTACATGACCCACTTTCCCCCTGGGGATCATTAAAGTTTCATATAATCTAATCTTTTTATGGTGTATTCAAGGAACAAAGAAGACATTTTCATTTGATTGATTTACCTGATTGATCAGTTATTCAGAACAACCCATCAATACATTAGCATGACATAAATACATTAACTGATGGAGGAAACAGAAATAAATCAACAACCAACAAAAAATACATGGTTTCCTGCCAAGAAAGACAAGGAATGTCAGTGGAATCATCAAAGACAGTGGACCTTATATCATATCCATAATGTAGTAGTGAAAGGGTTGTTTGAAGAGTGCTCTGCATTATTTGGGCATGCTGCTGTTGTATGCTCTCAGCACACGGTGGACACTGCAGTGGGTCGTGAAGAACAAAGCAGGGGAAAAGAGGGATCTGAGGGGGCCGCCGGGAATCCGGTAAACAAAGCCAATACTGACCCTTATTAAAAAAGAGGTCAGAATCAAGATATAGCTCTGTTTCTTTGAACATATGTGAGAGCTAATAAGGTGTCTGTTCCCTGCCTGTAGTGCTTGAAACATGCACATGACAGCCTCCATGTTGACAATCTTCAAAATGAAAAAGAGAAAGACAGCTGATTGAGACGGGTTAGTTTAACGACATGTTATCATGGCAAAATGATTCTGGGTACTGGTTGCAAGCTGGCACTGGCATCTATCTCTCGATTCTCTTGTAGGATCACAAAGAGTTAGCAGGCCAGATGGAATATGTAATCTCATCATTGTGTTGCCCCCAAGGTCTCCTTCCAATTTGATGTGCCACAAATACCTCCTCATGAGACGAATCCTTCTCAAATGTCCAACACATCACTGCCTTTTTTCAGTGTTAGGGAAGCAGCTCTACTCCGAGCAACATCTGAGGTCTTTACCCTGTCCATGGAGGTGAGCCCAGACATCTTGCTTTCACTTGTAACTGCAGTCTTAATCTTTCACACTTTCTAGCAATCACAGAGGCCAGTTGTACATTTTTTAAAGTTATCCTTCCACCACTGATTACAGTGAGTGAAGGTGAGTATCTCTATACCCCTGCTGAAAACAGCTCAGGCAAGACCTCATCTCCTCTTTTCACCTCTCGGACAGTTTTCTTGTATTTCTGCGAGGACAGCGTCTTCCCAAAAATCTGAAGCACAAGCCTTTGATTAATGCCTGGGGAGGAACTTGTCGGAGAGTGTGTCGTGACCCAGCCCTGCAAAAGTCAGGCTCAAATAAGGCTCAGTTCAATAAAACTAATTTCAGTCAACACATGGGCTCATCAGGACAGGTTAATGTCGTGGTGCATTGCCTTGGAAAAAGGTGGGACGTTCACAGATTCATCACTGGCAAAAAACTGTAAAGATGCTGAAAGTAATTATATGGTGCCTGACAGATTGACATAAATTTGTCTTTTGAGGCCTGTGGCACTATGGCAACAGTCCTCTGAGTACAACTGCCGACATCAACTCATGTCAGTTCAACCCTAAATGGGAATCTTTTCATTATGACAGAAAATGAAAAGGACAATGGCTATCCTGGCACGTCTATGGCAGCAAGAGCTCTTTTTTTCTTTGTCCCCAATCATGCAGATTCAAACCACATTCAAGGTTAATGTTGCGAAACTGTCCAGATATGATGCAAATATCTGGATCGGAAATTGTGTCTTTAATTAGAAGGTCTTCCTTATGGGACTCTACACATCCCAAAAGGATAATTCTGGTAAGTCCACACAAAAACGTTTAAGTATTTGTAGAGCCATACCATCCAAATACAACCACAGATGACCTGGAATATATCAACTAAAGAAGGTAAGAATGCCATTTATTCACCTCAACTGCATCTGATATAATATTCTCCCTTCATTTGCTTCCAGGAAAAACAAAAAATCTGCCTTAGTAGCACACAAAAACACGTAAAAAATATTATTTAGATTTTTTTTGCGTTGGCAACCCAGCTTGAAACAGACATCACTGGGCAATATCTCTCTGAAGGACTGCAAAGATGTTCCCTCTGCTCTACAGGCCTATGTGCACAATAAGCACAGCACCAGAGATATGGCCACTGGGCATTTAAAAAAAAGCATATGTGGGAAAAACTGTTTGCTTTGTCAGCAGCTGTCTGCATGGATATTGCCTTATACTGTATAAGTTTGTGGATTTATGATGTATGATTAAAGCAGTATTTATATTTTTATTTTACTTTAAATGATATAGTTTAGCAAGCAGTGCAACAGCTAAATCATCTCAAATCTTTAAATGGGCGATGCTTAGAATAAACACACCGATCCATTGATTTGTTAGTTGTTTTTAAAAAAGAGACGACTTTCATTTATTCGTCCTGGATTCATTTCCTGCCACATGGTCACAGCATTGCTCATCCAGTCTTAAACTCAGAAGACTTGCACTTGCACGTCAACAGTTTGACATTAGGTATTGTCCTGCTATAACTAATTTAAAAACCCACCTTTTCAATCTTGCTTTTTATTCAGCCTGATTCTGCGTTATGATTCTGTGGATAATCTCAACGTTTTTCTTGTGTGGCTTTCATTGGATTTTCCTCTCGCACTGGTTTTTACTTTCTTTTTATCCATATTCTTATCCGCATTTATCCACACTGTGCTTATCCATTATTGATTTTACTTTGCCATGTTTATGAACAACTTTTGGCTCAAATTCTGTTGTTTTCAACATAATATATAAATGTGACTTATACATGGGCTTAGTGTCAAAAGGGCTGTCATTGCAGGGGTTTTATTGTTTGATTCATATTTGGAAGCTTAATTATGAGTCAAATTTAAAAAGGCTTTACAAACCAAATGTTGGACACAAATTATGCTTTACAATTTTGCTGGCCTTTTCTTATCAAGTCCCATTTTATCATGGTTGTCAGAATTTACTAACAGGCTTATAATCACAGTAAAATATAATGTGCACATCTTCTCTTGCACGCAGGCCCTCGGTGCATGTGCAGGCTTCTTGAATGGCCACTTGTTTATGTGGCCAGTGGAAGACAGGTTCACCCGGAGCGCATGGATGTAAATGTGTGTGCTGTCCAAGGTAAAGGTGGTTAGTTAATGCTTTCTAAATTGGGATGTGGTCGGTGTGTTGGAGGCTGAATCTAATACACTGGCGTATCCCGGCGGTTGCCTAGTAACGCGCTGGCAGTGGGCGCCGCGCAGAGAGATCTCTATGGTGGGCGCTCCATTAAAACCGCTGGCGCTCCTGACCTTGGCGTCGTGAATGCGCAAAGCACACGGACCGTGCAAAGCGGCAGATAAAGAGTAAAAGATCCGTGCGTTTGATAGCGACACCAGGAGGGGGGGAAACATTTCACACACACACACAGCCACGGAGAGAGCGAGAGAGAGAGAGGGCGAGAGAGAGAGAAAGAGAGAGACGGTGTCTTTGTAACGAGACGCACTGGAACGGCACGGCACGCGATGGAGGAAATCTCGACATGGAGCGCGTGTCAGCCTCTTCTGTAAAAGCAGGTGAGTGAATGATGGTTTTCATTTTTACCCGTGGGATGAATCTTTGTGTTCAGATCGATCACTGGTTTCTTTTCTTTCTGTTTTACTGAATGCGATTGCTCTGCTGGGGGATTTTTCCTGTTTGTGCATCTGTTGGCTCGCATGCATTTACCCCCTATTTTTACCCCCCCCCCCCCAACACACACACACACACACACACACACTACAGCAGTGTGTCGATGCTTATCTGGGCTGTGTCTCTGTATCTTTGCATTCATTTACAAAGCACTGGTCATTGTGTGGAGTGCACTACCTGCACCTTTCCTATGCATCAATTCATTTCATTGCACTGCTAAATTATAAGGGGGGTTTTGTGGGGCGGGGGGGGTCCACTAAAGAAAACGTGTTTGATCCGCCACCAGTCGAATTACAAGGGCATTGGGAGCCCAGAGTGTCTGAGGCTCCCCCTCTCTCAATCCAATGCTTTCATGTCGTGGGCCCCCCGGGCTATACCACAGCCTGATCAATACTGTTGTCCTAGAGATTTTTATTACTACTGAATTGGTGTTGAATTGTGTGCCTGTCAATGGTGTAGGTGTAGAGATAGTAATGGTGGGAGTGATTACAGCAATCATTCTAATGGGTCTCTAAGTGGGATCAAGCCAGTCCAATGGGAATTAAAGTATTTGGGTGCATGGAGGGAAACCCAGCAGACCACTGTCATACATGAAAACATCTTACATGGTGCAGAGTTGTCCTGTATTAAATGTTAAAGCTTCAAGACATCTTGGTTCTTAAACATGTCAGTCTCAACTGGCGAAAAAGTAATCTTATCCATGATTTTTCCTTGCGCCCAAAAAACTTGCAGCGTATCAAACTATGCCTGAGCGATGGCTCGGTTTTATCGCATGGCCCATTTGGTGCGAGCCATAAAGCTCTTATCCACATCTGTCCCATCACAGAGCATAAGTTGGAAAAAGAATACTCTGCAGCCCAGCAGTGCTCAGCTGCCTCGAGTGTCTGCAGCAGATTCAGTAAAAGAAAATGAAATACTGTATATCAGAGACAGCCTTTAAGAATCTACCTCAGCTCTGCCCCAGTAAATTGAATTACATGTTTGACTTGATGTCAAAATAGCACAAATATGCTAATGAGTTGATGCATTGATGCTAATATCGTGAATCCATGTGTAATTTAAAAGGAAGTGCCGCTCATTTTAAGAATTCATATCAATGCTTTGATCTACAGCAGCCCCAGCGGTGTCTGATTTTTCTTTCTTTCTTTTTTTTTTTTTTTTTTACTGCCAGGGCTGCTTCTAAAGGCAGAGACAACTAACCAAATTTGACTGGTGATGGCAGTTTTGCCTCCAAATAGAATCCAAGTGATGTATCATCAGTGTCAATTCAGAACCAGAGGATGTGCCCCACTCCACAAAAAAAAAATTCAATATATATTAGGTTTTCTGTCTTTTCCATTTTATTGTCATGAGTGCTGTACATCATTGTCATATAACAGATGGAGATGGAATACGTCTTGTCCTTTTTTTGGTAGTTAATTAATACTGACAAAGCTGGCCTTGGGCAGAGATGTACAATATTTCTCAAATGAACCTCTGTGATGGTACTTTTCTGACAATTTTATATATCTGATTTGGCTTGAAAATTGACAAGCCAATGATGTCCATTGCAGGTAATGTGAAACAGAGAACGAGTCACCTTTATTTGTGATTACCTTTCCTGCTGTTTTAACCGAAACGTTGCAAAGAGAGAGGAGAAAAACCAATGCACCAGCCACGTCTGTGGTTAATTAGTTTCTCACACTGGCAGGCAGGTATCGTCTCCTGTCTCAACAGATAGCCTCATCAGATGAAAAGAGAGATGTTGTGGCTACGGTGTCTCACAACGCTTGGGGTAGTAGCCATCGATAAATCTGATTAGGTTAACAAGCTTGCTTTTGCTTTGTTCACCGACGAGTCAGTGAGAACCTTGTGTTAAGCATATTAAACTTACACTGCTGTCCTGGACTAAAAGGAGCGAGACGTGATGCATTTTGGATTAAGGTGTTAATTGGAAGAAGCACGATGCAGTTTGTTGTCTGTGGGCTTATATTTCATAAGGTACAAATCTAATTAAAGGTGTATTCTGCTGTTTACTAATGAAGTTGTCAGAGAAGCTATGGTAACTGTAGCTGGGTTCGAAATTATTTTGTGCATGCAAAGTAAAAGTTTGCATTTTTAATCGGTCCAATATGGTAGGAATGACGAACAGATTTTTCCACTTAGAAATCAGAAAAATAGGGACTCAGTTATGGCTTCCATTAAAGGATCCTTTTCCTCTTGATACTGAACTCAAATGGTCTATTGCTGCCTATAAGTCTGCCCCAAGTCTTTCAGTTAACTTGCAATCACTCTGCTTTATGGGGGAGAGCTCTGTGCTATAGTGTGGTCCCATCAGACATGTTTGTTCTGGGGATGTTCAACACTTCCATTATACACCTTCAAGTGTGTTGCTGACAGTGTTGCTCAGATGTAAGACACAAAAAAACATGACTTGTGTATCACACACATCAGAAATGTCGTTCCCAGCAAGTGTGTATTTTTAATCGCTCTTGAATACATCTTAAAGGTTTGTCTCCGCTGTTGCTTTTACATAAGAGAAGGGGCGCTTAACACCTTTTATCCTGAGATGCTTTCACAGCATCACTCCAACATCACAGCAGATGGGGTTTTTTCCAGATTCCACCCATCGCCTCCTCCTCCACACAGATTTCAGTGATTTGTAGATGTAAAAGCATTAATTTACTCTTTCATGCCAGCACTTTGTCCCAAAAGGTTATTAGCTTTAAAGTGTTCCAGTGGATCCGGCATACTGATATTAAGCTGATTCAAAAATGTGTGTTTTAAAAGCCCCAAGATACGGGAGAATAATGTTTTTTAAATCAAACTTTAGATAATACTTTGATGTTTCATTGACAACCATTTTCTGTCTCTTTCAGATCTGTGTGCACTGAAATGAAAAGTGGAAGTGGAGGTGTTCCATACCTGGCTGATGTGTGTTTGGATTTGATAAGCATCAGAGTCAAAGGCACAGTTTGTGATGTCTGTTTGACGGGGTCAGTGCAGCGGGACTGACCAGACACCACAGTGTGCGTTTGTATTGTGCAAAGGGCACTGTATTGCCCAGACCATGTGGCTGGCTACATTTAGAGACCATCTGTTGCCTGCACACCTGCCACATCAGCAAGGGACTGTAACCATCACCCACTGCGCTCTTCTTTGGTGGATATTATGCTCCTGCTGGTCGTTCACCAAGGCGACAAGCCAGAAATTCTACCCAACGGTCACCACCCAGTTCGGCAAGCTGCGAGGCCTCCGGGTGCCTGTGCCCAGCGAGGTGCTCAGGCCCGTCGATCAGTACCTGGGCGTCCCGTATGCTGCTCCACCCGTGGGTGAGAAGCGCTTCATGCCGCCAGAGCAGCCCTCCTCTTGGTCAGGTATCAAGAACGCTACCCACTTCATGCCTGTGTGCCCTCAGAACATCCACAACACCGTGCCAGAGATCATGATGCCCATATGGTTCACCTATAACCTGGACACAGTAGCCACATACATTCAAGATCAAAGTGAGGACTGTTTGTACCTAAACATCTACGCTCCGACAGAGGATGGTGAGTTGGCGTGGTAAAACAGACAGCAATGACTTTCCATGTCCATGATTTTGCCCTGTGATCGTCATATGTTGCATGTGTGTGACCACTGCTCTTGTCATTGCTGCCACCAAGGGCTGATTTACCATCCAAAGCATATTTCATTGTGGACTCACATGTTGCAATCATATTCCATTTGAAATAGCAATCATGCTCCCATTGATGAAATGGAGATTAGCCATATAGTGCTCGTCATGGTAAATGAAGACACTGCCCTGACGCCACTTAAAAGTGAGAGAGGCTTAATAAATGGGTTTCTTGTCTTCTCGCTAATAGTCATCCAGTAAAATATTGCTGAGCGAAGGTGTTGTTCAAGTATTGGTCCACCTTAACAAAGCAATAAATCTAACAGCTTGTAAAATGATGATCCCAGCACATTGGGCTGTCACCTCAGGGCATCAAAGGTAATCATGAAGGATTACGTAGCAGATCTAGTAAGTGCCACTTTTAAAATGTTTGTTGAAAATGTTACTTTCTTATGAATCACTACTTTGTGTCATCCGTGTCTCTGCTGGGGGCCAATTAGTTGGGTACAGAAGTCAACTGTCTATTGCTGGATGAATCCTCAGTGAAATGAAGCAGCAAGCATATTTTTGTGAGTCCGTTGTGGATCTGTAGATTAGCAGAACAATGTTATCACACAGTAATTCTGTATCTTCTCTCAATCTGCTGTTGGCAAAACAGATTTCTCTAATGCAGGTTGCTTCAGTTCACCAATTGAACATGGCTCCGGAGAATACACTGGCATTCAGTGTGATACATAATGTTTAGCATTCACAGTATAACCGTGTGCGGCTTGTGCATGTAACGCGCCGCTGTGGCGCGTGGCTTTTTTTCTACGGTAGCATAGCAACAGATAAACAGCCTGATCGAGAGGTAGCTGTCCAAAATGGTGCAGCCCACGTTTTATAAAGCTCCCAGTCTGAGTGCTGCCCAAAGGCCCTTGTCACCTGGCACACACACACACACACACACACA